AAATCATGGTCCACCTTAACTACTACACTCCACCCTTTGTCAACTGAACACCTGTACACATCTCCTTAAACAATACATAATCTCTAAATAAAAAGATACTGCCATATTTGCAATTAACACAATACAACTAACATGTTTACAGCCAAAATCACATTAACACTGTTTATGTCTTATGTTTAATGTAAGCACACCTATGAAAGCATGTAAGCCAGCCACTTCATGGAGATACTTCCATTTTAGATAGCCAATTTCTTTTTATTTTTTAATTTTTACTGTGATTTGGGTAAAAGTTTATAGAGTAAATTCACTTTCCATACAGCAGCTCACATACACTTTGTCTCATGACATTGACTACAATTTCCCACAATGCAACAGCTCCCCTTGCACTTCTTCCCCTTAGTTACCTCCTGCCCCCCAAGATGCCTCACTGTGAATACACAGCCCTTCTATTCTCCCATGATTGGTCTCTCTAAGGAATGTATCTACCTAATGTAAATGTTCAGCTCATATGCCTGTCTTTTGTTTGGCTGGAAGCCACAGGAATGGGTTCAATTCCAGACCTGAAGGGCAATCTAGGGGCCATAGTCTCAGGGGTTCTACCAGGCTCTATCAGACCAGCAAACCTGTCTTTTTTTTTTTTTTTAAATGATTTTGAGTTTTGTTCCACATTGTTCTCCCACTCTGTCCAGGATCTCCTATATAGATCCTCCTCCGAGTGGTTGACAGTGGTAACCAGACATGACCTAGTTCTTCTAGTCTCATAGTCATATAGGTAGATAGCCAGTTTCTAAGTTGTCCATCCATAAGAAATCAGTACTCTGAGGAGACAAGCATGTTCCTTTCTCTGATTGAATCCAGTTGTAACTTTGAGCATGTGCATCCATAAGCAAAATCCAGTCCAGAGCAAGCCATCAAATTGCAGGTATTTAGACCATCTCAGTGTCAAACATTTTCTTCTTCATTTGGTCAAGTTCTGGTCAGCTCAGCTCTAGCCATCCAAGCTAGGTCATGGTTACAAACTTGGAAGTTCACACGTCTCCCTGTACTTCAGACCAGCCAGCCCTTTCTCTCTTTCTTGTCTCTAGCCCCCATGGCCTATGTCAATGCCCATAGTCTCAGGAGTCTACACAACTCCTGTACTTCAGACAAGGCAGCCTTTACTCTCATCCCTAGTCTTCATGGGCTAGGTCAACAGGTGCCAATCTCAGCCCATTGTTCTTAATTGCCACACTTCTTCCACTTCTTCCACTCATCAAGTAGATCAGGTGGTCACCACAAGCGAGCAGCATACCCGTCTACTACTTGCCAGCTTTCTTTAACTTCCAGTCCTGGAGGGGGCTTTTCTCATGGGCCATGACTTTCCTGTCTCCATGCACCAAAAGCCAAACCACTTGCTTGAAATTCAAAAAGCAAAACAGCTATTTCCTTTTCTTTCTTTTTTTTTTTAATCTCTGCAGGTCCTTCCTTCAAATGGGAATCTTCTGTTGTTTCAGCAGTGCTGGGTGGATCCACCTGTCTTTTCAAATGCAAATTTCCTGACTCTGAATGTTCTGAGGAGGGCTCAGGTTTTCTACCAAAGTCAAACAAAAGCCTGTTTCTTCCAAGTAAATTCTAGTACCCCTTTTAACATATCCAATCAAGTATTGGCTGAAGGTGGGTTTACATGCTCTGTTATCCATGCCTAATACTCATTTCTAACATACAGCTAGGTAAGAGAACATTCTGTATACATAGTACGTTTAGATAAATACATAATCCCAGATACATAACCCTTTTCTAAAACATCAAGTTTCATCTTCTCTTCACTTTGACTGTCTTCCCATTATATGCATATGGCTTCGGGCCTTTGCCTGGATGGAACCAAAATCTCTGGCCTCCTATCAATCATCTTCTTTAATTGGCCTAGCTATTGCCCAAGGCCACTCCAAGTGTAGCTTTTCTCCCCTTAGATGCAGCAATATCTCTCACATTCCCTTTGGTCATAACAGGTAACAATTGCCAGAGTAACCTCTTAAGGATAAAAAGTTTCACTTTCCAGGCCCCTTTCTGCTTTCTCTTACAAAGTTCCCGTGCTTCCATGAGTCTGGAGCCATTGCAATGAATTCCGCTCCTGATGCCTACTTTTGTATGCCTGTCTTTTGTTTGGCTAAACAGCGTGGAGGTGACATCAGACCAACTCTAACTTCACAAGGGGAATACAGAAGGATCAGCAGCACAGCCCAAAGCTGGTTCTTACAAGAATCATCCTCTTCTAGCCCTCCGACCTTTCCACTCTCGGGACTCAATTCTCTCTTGGACTGCTAGCCTCTACTCATTACCCAATTCTAAAACTGCTTCCACATTTTAGATGTCTGTTATAGCAGCACCCCACTCTTGATACCAAATTCTGTCTTAGTTTTCTAGTGCTGCTATAACAGAAGTACCACAAGTAGATGGCTTTAACAAACAGAAATTTATTCTCTTACAGTTTTAGGAGGCTAGAAGTCTGAATTCAGAGTGCTGGTTCTAAGATATGACTAGACTAGAAGTCTGAGTTCAGAGTGTTGTCTCTAGGGTTTGGGTGGAGGCCTCTTGACTTTGGACTTCAGCTCTGCCTTCCAGGCCCACTGGAGCACATTGAAGGCTTCTCCTGATTCATGCAGCTGCAGGGACTGACAAACTCAAGATTGGCAGGCAGTATAGCAGGCTGCAGGCCTGAATCCAAGATCTTGAATCCAAGATCAACAGGTAAAATGGCAGATGGTTGGCTCAGCAGGCCAGTGATTCAAGTCCAGGAACTGGAGATGATGACAGGCCAAATGCAGAATCCAAAATAAGCAAAAAGCCAAAAAACTAGAGATCTTTCCCATAGCTCTCCATATATACTAGAAACAGGCTGTACCCCAAAGGCAAGTCCACTTAAACTAATTGCTGCTCATAGCAGATTTTACCATGGAGGTAATTACACCACATGCAGTCTCATCATGGAGAATAACTACATCCAGCTGCCAAGCCACTCAAAGTCATGGTCCAGCCAAGTTGACACACAACCTTAATTACCACACTTCACCATTGTTTTTTTTCCACCATTTTTGCTGATATCCTTCTTCATTTGTTTCAAAGGTGTTTCTTTTATTTGAGGAATAAAACTGATAGTATGTTTTAAGAGAAGAAAGCCTGGATTCTTTTCAGTTGTGTGTATGATATTTTATCTCCTAACTTTGGGCCTCAATTTTTCCATCTGTAGAGTAGGAATGTGGGGGACTTGTTACTGAAAATAGCCCTTGGAATTTACCAGCAATCAAGAGACCTTTGTGTTATAGCCAAACAATACTTAAACATGTATAAATGAGTAGGGGCTTTATCATCCCCACCCTGGCAGCAAACTTCAGAAAGGGTGGGGGTGTGATGGAATGAATCATACATATTTATTGAATCATACATATTAGGCTCCAGTCATGCATATCTATTGAAGTCCCGTTGACTTATAAGGGACTCTGGACTTTGGAGCTCTCTCTTGGGGGGCTTACTGGATTAGTGAGAATATCCATGCATGTGCAGAGTGTGGGAATAGTAGAAGCATCATGCTGCCAGACCTCTCCCAGGCCTTGGCTGATGTGTCTCTTCACTTGTGTCATTTTTGGTTATAATAAATGAGTAACTGTAAATATAGGAAGACTCTGAGTTCCGTGACTCATTCTAGCAAATTATCAAACCCATTAGGGGCAGTGAGAGCCAGAAGAAAGACTTGTTTACCTACTTGGCAGCAACTGAAAGAACAGAGTCCTAACTTATGGTGACCCAACTTTGGGTGCTAAGGGTGAGAGAGAGAAAGTGCTCCATGGATAGCTGGTGTCAGGATGATGAAGTGGGAAAGTGGGTATGTTAGTTATCTTCACATTTTAGAAATTAGCCCGTGTCAGTTATTATTAATGTAAGGTGCAAATACATCTCCCCTTCTACTCTATAGACCTCTGTGAAATAAATGATATTATATGTGTGGAAAGGTGCTCTGGTAGCATAGTGCCTAAAGCATTTGACTGCTAACCAGAAGGCTGGTGGTTCAAACCCACCAGCCACTCCTCGGAAGGAAGGTTGGGCAATCCTACTTCCGTAGTGATACTGCCTCGAAACCCAAGGAGGGGTCGCTATGAGTTGGGGCCGACTCGACGGCAAATAACAACAACAACATATGTGTGGAAGGAGCTCTGGTAGCGTAGTGTCTAAGGCACTTGACTACTAACCAGAAGGCTGGTGGTTCAAACCCACCAGCCACTCCTCGGAACAAAGGTTGGGCAATCTACTTCTGTAGTGATACTGCCTCAGAAACCCAAGGAGGGGTTGCTATGAGTCAGATCTGACTCAGTGGCACATAACAACAACAACAACAACATATGTGTGGAAGTGCCCTTTGGAATGAAATTAGTTAACTTCCTAAAGATTTTTTGATTATTATTTTTAGTTTTGCTTCCCACTGCGTGCCCTTGATCAAGCCACTGAGCCAGTTGCTTCTGATTCCCTCTTTCTCTGTCTCTCTCTGTCTCTAAAGGAAAGACCATGTCATTTCCACCCCCAGACATGCTGATAAATTTCTTTAAGGTTACTTGAAGATCCTCAGGAAAAATTGGTGGTGTTATCTGCCTTTGATTTGGAATTATTATTCTGTATGTGATGCATTATATTTGAATGTTACATCTGAAGGTGATTATTGGAAGTTTTATTTATATTACACATAATACCAGAAATAAAGTTTTAAAACACCCATATATATCTCTTTTTTAAAAATGTTAATTCACTAGACCTTGACAATATTTCCTTTGTGAAACTATATTGTTATTAAAATTAGATAGTATGAACATTACTATTTTTTGTTCATTTATTATGTAGAATGCTATGGGTTGTATAAAATGTAGTAGATACTGATTTCATTGATCATATTTCTTTAACCTTATTTAATTTCTGAAAACAGGCTAATTATTTATGCTGAATAGATTTAACTCATATCTCTTTTGGTGCTGCAGGTTATAATCCAAGCAGGAATTAACTCGGGGACATCCATGTCAAGAGGATTGTATCAGCCAGCAACAATCTTTATGGGCCGCCAAATGTCAGCCATCTCAAACATTGGAGATTTCCGTACAGAGCAAAAATCCCAACCCACAAAGAACTTTTCAATTCCTGACCCACATTCTTGCCGACAGACAGCCCAAAGCAGTAATGTGACAGACAGCTATGTAGTACAAACTAATAGTGACACACAGTGCTTAAATAAGTCTGACAAAATAGATGGAAAGACATCTATTCAGATTGTTGAGGAAATGCCAGTCACAGCCAGTATATTGTCTGAAGGGGAAAAAACTCATTGCTTGGAGATAGGAAGCAGCACACGTCATGGCAAGAGTAATTTATCTGAAAGCAAAAAGTCTGCTGAACTTCATTCCCTGTTACAGGAAAGATTAAGTCCAGAGAACAGAACCACTGATTTAAAGTGTGACAGTTCCAGAAGATCAGAAGGATCAGAGGAAGAAATACTGACACAGGGACATATTGAAGTCAAGGAAGAAAGAGTCAGACTGCCAGTCTCTCCGATATCAGTTTCAGAATACTATGCATCTGAAAATAAGTGTTCTCAAGAGAACTATTCTGCTTGGGAAGATATCTTAGGTGGGAGGAGAATCCAAGTTGGTTTGCTAGTGTTTGTTGGTATTCAGTTTTTCTGACTGGTAGCAGTCTTATATAAGGACAAAATACAGTCTCTCATTTGATCTCTTTGTCAAAAGATAAAGTGGGTATATTATGATCATTTGCTAACAAATTCCATTCTAATGAGTTCCTATTTATGTATTTATTTTGGGAGTGAAAATATACACAGCAAAACCCACTCCCATTCAATACTTTCTGGGCAGAATGATCAATGACACTAGCTACATTTTTCACGTTGTTTCAACATTCTTGTTATGTATGTCCCATGAACTTAAACTCCCTGCCCTCAACCTTCCTGTCTACACTTTAGAATAGCTTTGTCCACTTGGTCTTATATAAATATTTTTTTTTAAAAAAAGAATGCAATATTCAAGGATGACAGTCTTTACTCTTTGAACTAAACTGTTACTTAGTTTAAAAGTGACTTCAGGTAATAATTTCAATTCAGTATTTGAAGAACAACTCAGGGCATTAGTCTCAACTCTTCCAGGCTCACTAGGTCTAATAAGTCTGGATTCTTTAAGAATTGAAGTTCTGCCTCACATTTTTATCCTTTCCTATCAGGATCCATGTATTGCATCTCTGATCAGAATGTTTGATAGTAGTAGCCAGGCACCATCTTATTCTTCTGGTCATAACATAGAGGGGACAGTGGTTCATGGAGACAGTCCTTTAGTCCATTTTCTTCTCTGATTCTTGTGTTCTTTTCCTCTTCCCTTTTGTTTCAAATGAATAGACATTCTCATGAGTTCTTAAATATGTAAGTGAAAACATTTTAGCAAGCCAACTCCCTGATTTTTAAATCTGCCATATTATTTAAAAAATATTTTAAATGAGTTTTTAAATACTATAATTAGTTATACATTATTTTTATATGTTTTTGACTGATGGAGTAATACCACTCTGTGAAGTACAACATCGTACCACACTTTTCCTGAAATCACTGACCACTAATCTGTTCATACCACTTTTGCAGATCATCTTCCTCATGGGGACCCAAAGTCACAGAGACCCTTCAGGAAAACGCAGGAGGAGCAAGAAGAGGAAAGTCTGAACAGCAGCAGTGACCTCACAGTTTCTGTGAGTGAAGATGATCTGATTTTAAAGAATCCAGAACCACAGCCAATTCCGTGTGACAAGATGGAAGGAGAAGATGGAATAAAAGCCTTAAAATTAATCCATTCTGAGCAAGAAAGAGATGTCCTAGTCACTGAAAAAAAAAATTGTGTTTTGCAAAATATAAGCTGTCCGGATTCAAAAAAGGAATCCTCTACCAACTCATCAACAAGACAGTAAGCAACTCTTTTTTTTTTTACCATTTTGTTTATAATTGTATACATTTTTAGAGTTCATTCCATTGGAAATGTGATGTTGAATACTCAACCATGAGTAAGATGCTTCAGTATAAGTGTAAGATCCTTAAATCTCTTAAGTAGTGTTTTAGATAGGGTCTAATTTTCTTTTTTAAAAGTCTGAATATCATTGAATCATGGTGGTTAGCAGTTTATAATTATATCCAGACACTCTTCCATTAATTCATTAGT